GGGAGAAGGAGGGAGAGAAATGATGAGGGGGCAAGGAAAAGATGGTTCAAAGGAAAGAATCTCTAGGCAGAGTAAAACCTCATGAGAAGTGAAAGAACAAGAAGGCTCTAAGCCTGGAAAGGTTATGCTGAGGACTTCACAGAGAAGAGAGGCCAGAAATGCAGTGAAGCAAATGGAACCTATTGCTAAACTATGGGTGTCACACTGAAGATCTAATATTTACTTTAATGTTTGCATTAGTAAATTAGCAGAACACTCAAGGGACCCTTCTCCTCATATCTTTCTCCATAGTCTTGAGTAGTGGTATGTTACCACATTATTGTTTTAAAATGTAAATTAAAGATTATTGTTCTTAGTGCATCCAAGACTTCCTTAGATACAGCAGGCCAGATGACTACTGAATTGTTAAACACTTACTCGGATGATGACTACATTAAAAAAATTCAGAAGCGCCTAGAAGAAGATGCTCTCGCACGAGAGCAAAGGGAGAAAAGACGGCGGAGATTGTTAATGGACCAATTAATAGCCCATGAAGCACAAGAGGTAAGATATTTAGATGTTGGTTAAATAAAAGTGCTGGGAATTTTATGAAATGTAGTCTTGAATACACACACGTACGTACATAGGTACATATATCCATGTGCATATGTGTGTGTGTGTGTGTGTGTTTTTCTTCTGGCTCCATTTTCATACACACACACACACACATATTACAGACTCCAATTTTTAATATTCAATTGTCTGACATTCTGAATTAAACATCATTTGCACATCCTTCCATCATAATAGAAAATACACTCAGAAAAAAATACCTACATAAAATATTTACTGAAGAATCTAAAATCTAAAATATACATTGTTATTTTTAGAGGGAAAAAAAGGAACTTGTTATGAAAACAACACCGAAAAGTTGTTTGTACTCCCAGTTTATTCACTGGTCCATTTCAGTGGTTCCAAAATTGTGGTCCCTGGGCCAGCAACATCATCATCACCTGGAAACTTTTAGGAATGCAGATTATTGGACCCATCCCGGACCTACTGAACCAGACACTCTTGGGTGGGACCCAGCCATCTATGTTAACAGGCCCTCTAGGTGATTCTGATACAGCTACAGTTTGAGAATCACTGGTCTTCTCTTTCATTGAACAAGTATTTACTGAGCCTTTTCTCTGCTTTAGGTGCTTGTGCTAGGCCCAAGGACACGATAAACAAGAAAGACAAGGAACTTGCTCTCACAGAGCTTGCTGTTTAGAGGGCGATCTACAAACGAGCCATTACGTTAGAGTGTGAAAGTGCTATGAAGGTGGAAGGGGGTAATACACGGGGTAGAAATTCCCCCAGCTTGGTTCAGGGGAGGTTTCCGGAGTACAGTAACACAGACCTAAGGAGGAGGAAGGGCCAGGAATTAGCTAATTGAAGGTAGGAGACCTAAGTGGTGGAAAGTGCAGTGTGTTTCCAGAGGAGAGACTATCACATGAAAAGGCTCAGTGCCATTAGTGAACTAAAAGCTGAGATCTGGAGGAGCATTTGGTGACATTCAAGGGTTCACCAGTGGCCAAATCATAATAAGCTTTGTAAGCTATGTAGAGGGAAGTAGGAGATTTTGGCCAGAGTGCAAAGCGGAATAAGAGTGACAAGGTCAGATCTGCCTTTAGAAAGATCACTTGCTTTAGTCTGGAGAATAGATTACAGGAGGGCAAAACAAGTTATAGCTGTTGCTATAATCCAGGTGAGAAATGATCCCAGTTCAAATTTAGAGTCATGGCAATGGAGATAGAGACAAGTGGCTTCAAAAGCTATTTTAGAAGTAGAATCAACAGGACTTAATGATTCATTAGATGTGGGGGTGAAAGGCCAGATTTCTAATTTGGACAGCTGGGCGGATAGAGATATGATTCGCTGAGATAAGGAAGATGATAAATGATAAGAAGAATAGGCTTGGAGAGGAAGATGATTTCAGCTGTAATCATTAACAGGACAAATCTTTACGTCTAAAATGTAAAAGACAATTTGAAGATGCTTCTTTTATTCAAAGAATAACTCTGCATATCTCTTTGTGCTAGAGGTTTATTTCTTCAATTCGTGTATACTATTTTTACTCAAGCCTGATAG